ACAGTCCTGGAACACTTGAATGTGCCCGTAATTCGGTACCACTGTATTTAAATATACTGCATTAACACTCATCGCGGGATCAAATAGAAGAACTAGAAATCTGCAATCTACAGAAATAAAACTCAATGTGATTTTATATATTAATTGGACATGCAAATGGGTTTCATTGTTTAAAAAAAAATGAAATATTCCATTGTTATGGTAACATAAACTTCACACAAGACATGTTGGTTTATTTCAAGTGATTAATGCGGTATTGAATCCAAAAAAATCTTTTGTAGAAAATATAATTACAAATTCTTTACAGCAGGAAAAAACACTAATGTACCCACAAGTTTCCCATGCTTATAATCCAAGAACGCCCGAACTTTCCCGCAACTGGGTAGCACTTTATTTCAATATAGAGTATTAACAACCACCACATGATTACGTAGAGGAAGCAGAAACCTATTTAACATATATCAAACTCAATGTGGTTTGATATATTAACTGTTCATGCAATCTAGTTTCACCGCTTCAAAAATGAAAGAGAATGACTATAAGCCATGACTCAACATCAGTAGTTCTCAAAGATGTTTTGCAGCTTCTAACCACTTGGGAGTAGGATTTTTTCATGTCTATTGCAAAATAAAGGAACTTCACACAAGATATGTTGGCCTATTTCAAGTAGTGACAGTGGCATCTGGAATTTAATCCCAAACATCTTTTGTGGAAAAAACAATTATAAACTGAGAGAAAACCTTCAGCCATTAAATCATTTTACAATTAGTTCTGTTTTTATCACAAGCAAACATGTTTAAAAAAAATACCTAGGTATTTAATTTTATTCGAAGGCAAATATATATATATAATAGACTTTATACAGATCATGACTGCGAACCTGAAGACTCTTGGAAAAATGTTACTACATGGGAGCACGGGTTCTTAAAGATAAGCTTATTTGAAATATTGTTTCGTATAGGTGGCCGGTGCATTCATTGACTTGTAAAATCTTTGAGACAGCAGACACACAAAAACACAATATATCCGCACCTTGTGACCAGCTATCCAAACCAAAATCTTCCTCTCCCCCACGTTTCTCCTTAATAAAATTATGAAAAGCCAACGTCACGCGGCTTCGCCTATTTTCTTTGTACCAATACAGTCGGCTTGTCCTGAGCTCCGTGTCGCCGCCCGGCATGCATCACAGCATGTCGGTTTCCGGTTTAGTATCACGGTTATATCCGTTTAGTGTGGGCTGGCTGTGTTATGTACGTTGTAATCCCCCCACACACACACCCCTACAAGCACGCAGACACCAATCCATTTATTTATTTGAGGTATGAGTAAAATGAATTTGGTTATGAATTTAACGATGAAGATATTCTTATTTTATTTCGTAGAGAGGATGGAAGCTATATATAAAGTTTCATCTCATCTCGCAATAACATTCTGAAATAGGGATGCTTTGCGCGCACTTCTTTTTCGTTTTCTTTCCGACAGTGGGGTTCATCTTGTACAAGGTTTTGGAGGGGGGGCAGGGCGCTCGAGTATTGTTGACACTTTATACGGATAAGAGGAGAAGATAACGGTTAATCTTAGATTTGAACAGGTTAAAACTGAAAATGATCAGGGAAACATCCTCTTAGGAGTCGGTTCCATAGGGCAGTGGTTCGCCGGAAAAAGCTGTTCGAGTGGAACTTACTTCTCACCGATGGAATACCGAGAGAATGTCGGTGATATGCTACCCCTGTGTTTGGCAAGGCAGGTCCTAGCCGTAAAGGTTAGGACTGACGTAACCAAGGAATATAGTTCGTACCCTGTTAGTAGTGATAGAGTAAAGTGAGTGACTCGCCATATCCCGCCTGTGAGAGACAGAGGTTGGAGGGTGGAAAATAATTTGTCACATAAAAAGAGCCTGAAACGTTCTTGAACTCTATCGAGACTGGAATGTAAGGACTCGGTATAGTGGCTTTAGTTTCGGGAGAAAATAAAGGCAAAAACTGTACAAAATTTGGATATTTTTATTATGATGTTCCTTCATCTAAGTTTTCGGCTCACTTGAGCCATTATCAGTGTGATTATCTGGACATTACAAAAAAGAACTTTACCATCAAAGATGACATTCTGTTATGTTTACATAGAAATTTGCTATGAGATGATATATATATATATATATATTTATTAAAGACATTTTTATGTTTAACGTTGTTATTTATAGATACAAGTATTTAAGCAAATGCTCTGTTTATGATAAACAGTATTAAATAACATTTACCGGCCTGAGTGTCCGAGAAATTTTCGAAGAAAATATTCGTTCTTTGACAGGATTCGAACCTGCATCCTATACGGAACCGTCATTTACGCTGACGTGCCTAACCTCTGGGCCACAAAGAACGTTTCGGTAGACAAGGTCGAATTTACTGCTTATAAACTTCAATCTTCCATGAATCTCGTACATTCATAACTGCTCTGGCGTATCAAATGTAAACAAATGACGTCATATATTAAGAAATGGACAAAGGTCCGACAATTTATTTATTAGGAACATTTTTATGTTTAACGTTATTATTTATAGATACAAGTATTTAAGTAAATGCTCTGTTTATGAAAATTTCTCGGACATTCAGGCCGGTAAATGTTATTTAATACTGTTTATCATAAACAGAGCATTTGCTTAAATACTTGTATCTATAAATAACAACGTTAAATATAAAATGTCTTTAATAAATAAATTGTTTGACCTTGTCCATTTTCTTTTATATATATATATATATATATATATATATATATATATATATATATATATATATATATATATATATATATATATAATAAAATAAATTAATAACGAGATATTAGCAAATATAAGGCGTGTGATAACGTATATATATATATATATATATATATATATATAGAAAGAGAGAGCAGAGTTCGAATTCCAGTCAAATCCATTACATTCGCTTACATACTAGGGAAATGTATCAATCCTATTCTTCTCCCCAAAACGATGGATAAATAGCAGAACAGAGCGGGTTCAGTAGCCTTGGATGCAGCTGGTCTACCGCAGAAAGAAATGGCAACCTACTGCGGGAAAATGTCTACCTCGTTAGTCTGTATCGAAAGATACATGATCACCTACCCGTGTATCACACATGGCACATAACTGATGTTATGCAATAATGTTTTACTATAATTTGAATTAAAAAAATAGTGTTTTTATATAATGGTTTTTAAGTAATATATATCTATAAATAAATACTATTTATTTATCTGTCTCTTGATGAGCGGATTAAATCTGCAAATCTTCATATCGGGAGCAACGTTTTCGAATTTTGTTTAATACATACATACATATATATATATATATATATATAACGCCACGATGCTTTCATTAGCTGCATAGTACGTGTTGTGATACATAAGTATTTTGAATACAGATTTGTCCTTCTCCTAGTCTGGTTGCCACTCAAGACTATAGGACGTTTCCCAACGGTCTTTTCACGTAAGTAAATATAACGAACCCAACTAGAAGTTCGATTCGTCAATCCGGGCACCTATTTATTACTCCATCGTGCCAATATATAATGAGTCTGATGAAGATCCTAATAATAGTGGATGAAACAAACCACACAACATATTTCCCATTTCGCCAATCATTTGTCTAAATAAACAAATAAACGGCAAATTCTGTCTATCTGTATCTGAAACGCCTCTAACCCGGGCCACACTTGCTCTACATAGGCATATTATAGCTTTTGGGAATCAAGATGATCCCGGGATTGAAAATCTGTCCTTCAGTTGGTGATTGAACACTCAACACTGAGATTTACGTAAGGGTTAGGAAAAACTTAAAAAAATCAGTGATTTTAAATTTTTTACTTTATATTGAGTTTAAAGTAACACAAAAAAATTGTGAAAATGAAAAAAAACATGTTTGAAATTCACTTCAAAATGTTTCCCAAACTTTGTGAATTAAGGAAATCAATTGTATTTCTTCAAAGTGTCAAGGTATAGGATTTAAACTGAGAGGTTTCGTGACGTAAGATTTTGAAGTTTCGCATAGTTTGTGACTTGAAGAAGTCAACACAAATGAAATGCCAAGGAATTTGTGGTTTGAAGAAGTCAAATCAAATGAAGTTCCATGGAGTTTTTGATTTGAAGATTTCAATCTTTGGCCTGAATTGGAATTTCATTGCTTAAAAGTCAACACGGGTGCGGCTTTTAAGCTCGTATTAAATAAAATGTGCTTCAGCAAGTACGACTTCATCCAGTTATGTGCTATGCGTGATACACGCCTGGGCGATAATGTATCTTTCGATACATGACTGACGAAACAGAATTTTTCCAGCAGTAGGTTGCCATTTCTTTCTACGGTAGATCAGTTGCCATCCAAGACTATAGAACCCGGTCTGTTATTTACCTATAGCTGGAGGGGGAAGACGAGGATTCAAACCTTTCTCTAGTGAATATAATGGATTCGACTGAAATTCGAACTCAGCTCTCCGATTCCTCAGTCCGAGCCGCTATCCATTACTTCACCATGCCCTCCCAAAGTATGATTTAAACTTTACAAGTACATGTTTTCTTTCATTTATTCTTTCTTTCTGTCCTGGGTATGACAATAAACTATATCTGCGTCCTGGGTATGACGATAAACTACGTCCAAAAGCAAGGCCTCTGATCAGGAGATTTTGAGGAGCATAGAACCACCTCTTAATTGCTGGTGGGGTGGTAGCACCTGTTAGGGTCCCAGCTATGGGCAAAAAGTCCCGAAACTGAGGCAAAAAGCATTATTAAAGTGTAAAAATAGGTTTTAATACCAGAAATACTTTGTAAAAAATTATTACCAGAAATAAATTTTTGAAGAAAAAAAACTATTAACAGCAATACGTTTTTGAAAATAATATTACCAGCTATACCATATTGAGGAAAAAAAATATTACCAGAAATAGATTTTTGACAAAACAAAAATATTACCAGGAAAAAAAAAAGTTGTTGGTATTAAATGACCCATTGAGGTTGATTTGCCGTAAAACAAACCAAACCAAACCAAACATTCTTTCTTTCTTTCTTTCTTTTTTTTCTTTTCTTTCATTCATTCATTCTTTCTTTCTTTCACTCATTCATTCTTTCTTTCTTTCACTCATTCTTTGTTTCTTTGTTTCATTCTTTCTTTCTTTCTTTTATTCATTCATTCTTTCTTTCTTTCATTCTTTCTTTCATTCTTTCTTTCTTTCATTCATTCTTTCTTTCTTTTATTCTTTCTTTCTTTCATTCTTATTTTCTTTCTTTTTATTTCTAAACCATTACGCACCTACATTTAATATTTGACATATTTCATTGCGTTCCCTTTTAACGAGTTCTTTGAGATTTTTCGACCCCAAATGAAGGAGCCATACTATCTGAAATTTGCTTTATCTTCTTGCTCACCCAAAGCTGGTTCAATTTGCTGAAATTCAATCCTCGTACACCACTCGCTATCATATCCTCCAGAACATTGCATCTATTTCTTTGTTGCGTCTAACCCTGTTCGTTTTAAACCTGTACTAATTAAACATGCATGCAGAAAAATGGGGAGAGGTTGTGAGATAAGACTCGTAAAAACTGAGATCATATCTCCTGCATGAAGTGGAAAATTGTCTGATCACTAGCGAATTCAGAATGTATGCGACCTATTAATCTTTTTAATCATTTCACCTCAAACAAGGCAGGAATGCTACTAGTAAGATGGGGGTTAAAAAGAGTGAGACAAATTACTGGGTATAAGGAGGATTGAGGAATGGATAAAAGGTGAACAGCAGAAGATGGCGATTGATGTTGCATTTTATTTTTTTGAATATTGTACCCTGTGTCGCGCCAGGAAATTTTTCTCCCCGGAATCGATCCTCCAGATCTACAAATCAACCATTCGCCCTGGCATGGAGTATTGCTGCCATATATGGTCTGGAGCCCCTTCTGTTTGCCTCGGGGTTCTTGATAGGCTCCAGAAGCGGATATGCAATATAATTGGCCTTGATCTGGCATCTCGTCTACAGTCGCTTTCTCACAGACGCGCCGTTGTATCTCTCTGTCTGTTTAACAAATACTTTCATGGCAATTGCTCCGAGGAGCTGCATTCGCTGGTTCCCAGACTTCATGAGTTCAAGCGCCCTACGAAGCTGGCATCCCGCTCTCACCCTTTCACTGTCAAAACTCGTAAATGTAGCCGTCTCTTCTAGTTCAAAAGCTTCATGTCTCGCACCTCTCGCCTGTGGAACTCCCTTCCCTATTCCAGTTTCCCTGGGAGCTATAATCTCCAGCTATTCAAATGCAATGTCAATCGACATCTCCAGTTGCCTTGATCTATCCACTACCCTTCTCCTCATCCTTTCTTCTATCACTCCTATCTGATCTTGCTCCAAATTTTCAGTAACCCCTTACGTCCTAGTGGCTTCCCGCCTTGCTTGGGGTGAAACGTTTAAAAAAAAAAAAAAAAAAAAAAAAAAAAACTTTTCAGGGAAGCAAGTAAACGGAAGTGAGTTCCACTGTCGAAAGGAAAGAAACTGTTGGAGTAGAAATGGTGGTTCCGTTTAACTATTTCAACAGTAAAAGGGTGGGACCTAGATGCCAATCTAGTAGCGCGTTTAAATTCGTGTAGTCAGAGCACCAGGGGAAAAAAAAAGTTCATCAGAGTAGTTGGTATGAAAATATTTGTAGAAAAACAGATTTCGTCGTTTACGAAATTTATTCTTCAGAAAATCAAGTACAATTACATTTGATTCAATTCCATATTCACCATTATTTACAGTGAACTGTTACCACGTATCTTGATACATAGTGAGTGAACTGATGCCGGCCGTCTCCTACACTATAATCAGTGAATCCTGTTCGTGTAACAACGTTTGCTTTTTCTCACAATTTCACACCATTCAAGACAGAAACTGTTCAAAAACCTTCGAAAAGATATAAAAACAATAATCAATAGGTTTAGTTTGATTTTTGAATTTTATTTTTTGAATTTTTTCCAAAAAATCGAAAATCGGCACTTCGTACGGAAAGTTTTATCACCGACTACTGCTGAGGCGCATTACGGGCGTCCGGCGACGGCGAACGAAGGCCTTCGACGAACTTACGCATTTACCTTCTAAGGCGCATTACGGGCATCCGGCGACGGCGAACGAAGACCGGCCAACAACTTCGACGGACTTACGCACTTACAGTTTTTAACGTGAAATATATTCGATGAACTCTTGAATCTGGTTTTACACATCCAAGCATCTTTTTTTTTTTTTTTGCAGCGATCGGAAAAGTTAATAATTGATTGGTGGAAGGTGATCTAAATATAGCGAATGTGGTTGAACAGACAACTCGATTTCTGTTTTCCTATGTGGTTCTTGTTGTATGTCTCCTTGTGCCATCATGGAGGGGGAACAGCATTTTCCCTTTAATCCACGATATACACTGCCATTAACATGCATAAATTAGTGCACTCTAAATTTATTCTTAACTGCCACCTATGATTAGTAGTTAGGGAGACACATTCGTCATTATCATTGGTTCAGAAATCCGGAAATTACTTATGATTTGTCCCAATACGCATGACAGTATTCTTTCTACGAGAATTCTGAAAGTTAACAGATGCAGTTCGTTTCAGAATTTAAACACGATTATTAATATTGTCGCGTTGCTTAGAAAAATACGCTAACTTAGACAGTCATCATTATTGTCATTAGAGTAAATTATATAGTCACCATTGTCCCCATTGCAGTAACTTATACAGTCATCATTATTGTTATTACAGTAAATTATATAGTCCCCATTGTCCCCATTGCAGTAACTTAAACTGTCATCACTACCCTTATCCAATAAGTAATAGCAGTACCATTAATAGTTCTATCAGTTGAACTATTATAGGCATGACTGTTTTCAGGGAATAGGTGACTATGGCTCTCCACGGCTTCATTTTTAAATATCTGTAAAATTTGCATGGTTGTAGTAGTTTTGAAGAAGGAGAATAGAATTTTTTGTTGGTTTTTCTACAATTTTGATTTCAGTATTTCCTTCTCCAAGACTCGTTGCCATCCGATTTTATGTTACTTGATTAATAGAGGATCTGAGAACAAGAGATGAGTTCATGCCTTTCCTCAAGGTATTTATGCAAAGAGAATGCAATCTACCTCAGCCGTAGTTTGAACTTGAATTACCTATTCCATTTTCCCGTACACCTGAATCTAGGATAACATGCCATGTGGACGGGCCCTGAATACGCCATCTGCATTCCATGTATAAGGTTAAGGCCCCCACTCTCGACAAAAACGCAGATCCTCCTTCCGAGTGCATGCTTACAGATTCAAGTATAAAGCCGACCAGTTTTTGTCTAGAGACCGCGATATAAACACGTAAAAAGTTGACCAACGTTTACTTTTCATTTAAGGTATAAACACAATCAATGTTTACCTATAAACTGAAGTATAAACACGATAAATATTTGCATAGAGACTGGGGTATAAACACGTCAAATGTTTACCTATAGACAGAGATAAAACATGTCCATTGTTTGACTATAAACTGGGATATAAACACGTCCTATGTTTGCCTATAGTTTGGCATGTAAACATCTAATTTTTGCATATAGACTGGGATATAAACACATCCAAATTTTGCTTATAGTTTGGGATGTAAAGACGGCCCATTTTTGCATATAGACTGGGATATAAACACATCCAATGTTTGCCTATAGATTGGAATATAAACACATCGAAAGTTTGCCTATAGACTGGGGTATAAGCTTGTCCAGTGTTTGCCTATGGCCTAGGATATAAACACATCTAATATTTTCATATAGACTGGGGTATAAACACGTCCACTGTTTGTCTATAGTTTGGGATGTAAACACGTCCAATTTTTGCATGTAGATTGGAATATAAACACGTCAAATGTTTGCCTATAGATTGGGGTATAAATCTGTAAACTGGGTTATAAACAAGGCAATGTTTGCTTATACCCTCTAGTATAAACACATCAAAGTTTGCCTATAGAATCGGCCATAAAAGCAACGAATATTTGCCCAAGTGCTGATGTGTCGTAAAATAAGAGTTTATGCCAATTCTTTGACACTAGTAATATTTCTTAATGGCTTAAATCAGACAGTTAAGACACCCTGAAACACAGGGTTTGAGGTGGGGAAAATGACACTGCTTTATTTTGTGGGTAGATTTATCCTGTAGATGTAAAGTTTCCTAAAATGATTCCATTTGCATTGGTCAATAAGTAAATTAATTTCACCTTTCTGGGAAAAGATAGTTAAAAATTTTAAATGGATTATTATTATATACCGTCATACCTTCCAAACAGGAGTTTTTAAAATCCTAGCAAAAGATCACGTGGTATTAATGCTCTTAAAATCCCCAGCATCTTCCAGAGTATTCGAGCAGACTTCATTAATTTTCATTGTTCAAATTCTTCCTCGAATCCCCAACACTGCCAATCTATTTATCAGGTTCTTTGGCATCGTTCCAAGTGCACCATTAATTGTGGACCCTATCTAGATTTTTCTCAACATTTAGACTTTTAGTGCATGATCCTGATGTCCTTATCATGCCTATTCAGTTTCGCCTCGTGATCCTTCGCAAAAGTTACATTGATATTTTAACTTTGTTTATTTTAATTAAGTATGGACTGAGTTTCGGTGCTCTGTCTAAATGTAAAACGCCCAAAGTATTTTTGTTTTCTTGATCTCTAAGAAATTATCATCGTATTTTGTACTTATTGAATAATAACAGCAGAAGTAACTCCAGATCAAGTGGGATTAATGTTTCGGCGCTTTCCTCAGTATTCTAACCGATTTAAGTAATGTTTTCTGAAAGGTTTCGATTCTTTTAGAAATGTCCAATTCTTCTCATTTTTATACAAAATTTTTCGGGATTATCCCAAGAACTTTGATAGTGCCTTCTTTATAGTTTATAAAAAAAAAGATCTTTTTTTTTAAATCGATTTTTCGTTCCAAAAGAAAAGAAAAGCGACTGAAAGCAGCAGACGACCTCAAGTATGCCATGCAACTCTGAGAAATCCAAATGTACAATGAAAGAGAAAATAAAGTACAAAGAGAATGAAACTGAAACAAAGATTCTCTCTGCCAGAAAATAAACACCGGAATGGCATTCCAAATGAAAGATTCTCATCGACCACGAGGATTATATCCAAGATCTGACTGGTCATATTTTCTTTGTTCATGATGACTTGATCTAATTTCAGTGCCGGAATAGCCGGATCAAGAGAAATATCAAAGTCTTCTGCTGTCTTGGGAGTTTGAATTTTACATGCACCATTAGTTTGAATAAGTGAATCCCGTT